AAAGAGAAAGAGCGAAGAGGCTATTCATATTCATATCAGTTTCCACTCCGCATCAGGCAGCTGTTTGCTCTGTTGCTTACTTAGAGTGAGATCACTATTCCATTTCTGAACTTACAGCAGCTTTCCCTCTAAAGTAAGGAGGATATCGTTCATGGGTGAGCCTCAACATTACTCTTTTTTACCTTTATTGATTAATTTCAGGTAGGAATGACTTCTTCTTTTGATATTTTCAATCAGTGTTCGTTAGAGAGGGGCCATTGGGAGGGTAGAGCAAGAGAGGATTTTTTTTTTCAAATTATGTTTTTTTTAAAAAATAAATGCTGATGGGAAAACAGACTTCCCTAACTTGCCCCCCTCCAGATACATGGGACTACAGCTTCCATCACACGCCATCAGCATGTACTGTAGTCCCATGTGTCTGGAAAATAGCAGGTTAGAGAAAGTGAAACAGAGGAGCTTTTTCAATATTGTAGATAAGCAGAAAAATAGTGTGTGGCACTAAGAAATATTGGGGGGGAGGGGGCACTGCATATAAAAGTGTATCATCCTGTCAAAGGATGGGAGGATTTAGCTCAATAGTATAACACTGGGGGAAGAAATGTCTTGATGGCAACCAGCTTTGTTTTGTGTATTTAGGATATTCCTGCTTGGGCAAATGTTCATAGAACAAAACTTCTCTTACAGATTATTTTTAATCACCCTCAATAGTTGTACAGTATACTGACGTTGACTCAGCTGGCTTTCCAGTGTAGTTGATATCATGCATGGTTTAATATAGCTATTTTTTTCTACTTACCCATCAATTATTCATCAACTAGTAAAGACATTTCTATTACAAGATACATTATTCACGAGTGTTCTCTTTCATTTGTATGCATAGGCATTTCACCCAAGTGAAATGTCAAAAGAGAAGTAACAAACTCCTCGCTGATGATTCACCTCCATTTATTCCCGTAGATATTGCTTTAAGTGGGCAAGAGGTGGTAAACTCAAATGAACTTTGCATGGGTTTCATTGCCAATTCATAATGAGCACAATGAGCAAGCTAGCAAATATTTGTAGATACACCACTGTGAATTCAAACAAGTGCTTTGCTTGAGATGAAAAATCTTGGGGCAATTTATGCTATCTCTGATTATATGAAAAAAGTTTTCCTAAGGTTATGCTGAGTTGATATGAAAATAAATGCTTTGACGCAAACCATAACAGCTAGCCAGTTTAGTATTGTAAATCTATTTAACTGTCCCATGACCTCATCCAGCACTGTAAAAGTAGATAAACAAATGTCCCTCTGATGTAATTCTCACAGTCCTTTGCCACTGGACATGCTATGTGAGGCTTATAGGAGTTGAACTCCAAAACAGAGATCTACTTCTAGTCCACATGTTCTCTATCAATCCACCAATACTAAACAATATCAACTTCAGCAGATGGAAGTGCTGAAGATCTGTTCCCAGCTGTGCATAGCTGCTTTAAATGAATACATAGTGTTCAACTTAGCAATAATATTCATATTATTATTACCATTACTGTTAGATGCCTTTTCCAAGGCATGGCACAAATAAAAAACCCACCATCATTGCAACTTTCCATCCAATGAAATTAGCTCGCAACTAACAATCAAACCAATAAAACAAATATTTACAACTGAGACAAACACAACACACATATTTAAAAGAACACCCTACAATTTAATAGAGTACACATACATCTTTAATTAATGTGAAACATATACTAACCTGGAAACCACCAATTTTACTGAGAGTAGGATAGAATAACAGGTCCCACACAAACCCGCTAGTCAAATTAAAGGTCTTTAATCCCCTTTTAAAAGCTGTCTGACTTTGATATTATTGAACTGAAGGGGAGGAAGGAATTGATTGCAAAGTCATGAGGCCAGGTTCCTGAAAGCCTGGAGACCAGGACCCTGGAGCAGAGAGGAGAAAGAAGTCTCTGCCCAGGGGAAGGAAAGAAGCAAAGAACTAAGGAGATAAGAGAAGATGAGACAGCATAAGTTTAAACTGAGTTCTGGCTCAAGTGTCAACCAAAGTAGTAAAGATAGTGGAAGGTGGAAGGTCGAGGTAGGGTCACAGTGATACCATAAATATGAACAAAGTTATTATTATATAATATTTGTGGACTACATGAGAAAGGGTGCTTTCTTGGTTCAACAAAAATCTATATAAATGTCATTATGAAGAATCAGAGCCCATTTATTAACTTCATATAGCATGTATTTTCATTAACAGCATGAAAAAAAAATCCATTTGATTTGATGTTACTTTTCTAAATTTTTTCTATACCATGCATTTTTGATAATTTCTTTTGCAATTTGGAATCATTCTGTGTAATGATGATGTTACCTAGTTGGGTAATGAAACATCTGCAAGCAAACCACCAAGCTCAGAGAGCACCAAGGATTCCACAGTTCAACACTGAGCTACATAAATTCTCTCCTGTTGGTTTCCGCTAATATACATTTAAAAAAAAATAATGGTGGACTGCATTACAAAATTTGCAGTCAGGAGAAATGTGAAGAATAATTGGGATTGTATTAGTTAAAAAATGTGATACATTCACATTCAAATATGAACTGAACAAATTTATCCCCCATCCCTGCTGACATTCAACCTGGAATGACTTCTCCATACACATGCTGCAACTGCATTCTTTTAGGATCTTGAATATGTTGGTTTCTTCATTTTAGCAGAGGAGACTTATGTAGGTCTTTGCTCATTCATAGCTATTTTTTGTCATTAAGTCAAATGAGAACGTGCCAGAGTGGAACTATTGCTGCCAGTTGGGAAGCTGAGAGTTGATCACTATATTGTAGAGATTGTTTGTTGTAGTACACTGCTATTAAATAAATTAAGAAACTACAATTTAATGCTATGGAGTACCTGTGGCAGACTATAGTACAGTCTGGCTTATCTCCACAGAAGTAATCTGGCTATTGTTTACAGAGAGTATATCTGGGGTCACATTTTAACTCAAGTTAGGTCACATTTGTTTTAATCATGATTTCAGCAACAAGCTGCAGTGACTTTGTTCACAAAACATGCTAAACCAAATCACATCACAGGTTACTATAATATATGGATCCAGTTATTTCTTGGTCAAAGGAGAGTTGGAATGCATAAAGTACAACATATATGAATTAAGAAACAGCTATGGGCCAGTAATGTTCATGATCAATATGGAAATAAAAGCTGTGGCAGCTGAGGTTATTGAATGTTTTCCTTGGCTGGAGACTGAAAGAATAAAGTATTTTATATTGTGTGATAGGAAGAGAGGAGGAAGAAGAGGTGATTAGCTCCAAGGCCACGGTTATCATTAGGCAGTCAGTTAGGTGGCTACTTCAAGCGGCTGACTTTGGGAAGTTAGAAGGCAGATTTCAGGATGTAATTTTGGATGCTCCAGAATCTGATAGGGTTTCCTCAGGTTTGTAGCAAAAAAATTACTCATTTATTGCACTGATATTCTACCTTTCCTTTGACAGCTTAAGATGGCTTATATGGGGATCTCTCATAATTTTATCCTCACAGCAACCATATGGGTTAGCCTGAAGGAGAGTGACTGGTCAAAGGGACTTGATCCACAATAGCAATGATGAAATAAAGTCAACTATCACCCTAGTAGGCTTCTACATGTAGAAATGGAAGGAATATCATATTATCCTTCAAAACAATTTGAGTCAATCTTGGATAGTCCCTTCTACAGCTTTAACTTTGCTGCATACAGTGCTCTCAGAACAAAGTTCTCCAAATTAAGTTTCCACATGTATAATACAAAGTAATAGCTAAACTATGCATGCTACCCATCACTGCTCAGGCTCCTAGTAATAATTAATCATAGGAAATTAGTACAGTATTTTAAATTTCCAACCAAACCCATGAAACTATTTTTTTTAATCTAGGAAAGGCCTGGCACCAGTGTTTCAAAGTTTGTCTTTCTTAAACAGTAAAATCATAATTTTATTATGAATATTTTTCTGCAAAGAAAAGTACCTCTTCCAATAGTGAACTTCTGGCTTAACTTTTCTTTCTTCTCCTGTCCTCTATCCAGGCAAAGCACTCCTACCTCACCAAAAAAGTGCAATCTTTGGCCCATGCCTAGGTCTAACTGCAATGAGGGATAGTTACATGTAGAAACACCCTGGAGTACCAGGGCTTGTGGCCTTAGGCTGGGATAAGAACTTGAAGGGGTTCTGTGAAAGACTAAAGAAGCAAACAAAAAAGAGTGCACTTGAACACAGCCATTTTTTTTATTACGAGAGCTTTGCCTCTTGATTAGAGGTTCCAAATAATGATGATGGTTATTATGGTTGGTTGCATAGTCAGCCAGTTGTTTAGACTGGATTTGGCATTTTTGCCCACCTATCGAGTCCCAAGGACCTGGGATAGGCAGATGTTGTTGTGTGATGGTGTTAAACGTATCGTCACAGGATGTAAGCTCTTCCAAGTAAAGCTGCCTTTTGCAATTGACTGATGGTGATTTTG